TTTTTTTTTTTTTTTTTTTTGTAAAAGCTATGAGAGAACCGGTGAGGAGAAAACTTGAACTGTACCCATTGTGTCCGCAAAAAAAGAAGGTCCAAGGGTGCGTGGTGGGAAACCCGTCATGGCAGATCAGGCTCCTTACAGGGTGATGGAACAGTGAGGGTAACAGGGTGGTCCCTGCAGCTGTGAGAGGATCAGTGTGGGTTTAGTCAATGAACTGCTGTATGATTGTTTTTGGAGATTGGTTGGTCCGAAGGGTTGCATTTCGTTTTTGAAAATCGATTGGCAATAGTTATTGCAGACTTGCAGATGGAAATTGGCCCGTAGTTAAGGGGCGGAGTGTAGACTGGTTGAGTATTTTGGTATCGTTGTTAGATCTTCCGTGGAAGTTTTTCAGGAGATTGGGTCTCGTTAGACACTCCTAAAAGTGCCAGTTTTTAGGATCGCGTCTTCGTTGCACACAGTCCTTAAACGAAATCGGAGATCGAAAATGTGAAAACGGCGTTAGGACGTTTCCTAAAAGATTTAGGATTCCCCAGGCAAAATCGTCCTAAATTTTCCAGTAGCCTCCGACCTACTGAAAGATTTAGGATTCCCGCGTTTCACGGAGTCGTTGCGTCGCGCGCATGGCACCGTCGACACTCGTTGGTGGTCCAAAAGCGGTCCGTCGAGTCAGTGGTCCGACATCGGAGGTTTTCTGCGGCTCGACGCGGGCAACGGCCACGAACGATAGCCGTGGGCAGAGGGGGTGGAGCGCGGAGAGCCGAGCGTGGGCGGGTGGTTGCCCGTACTGGACCGTTGGGTCGCTTGCGAGATGCGGAGTGGGACGTCGACGTGCGCAGGACGACAGACGGAGTCGCTTCGGGCAGCGCGGGCTGCAACGGTCGATTTTCAAAAGGAAGGCGGGCATGTTGGTCGTCTTCTATGGTGGTTGTCCGCATATGAAGGTCGAGCGCCCCTGTCCCAGGCATGTCGGAACACACATCTGCAGTGGTCACGTGCGAGGGCGGCTGCAGAGGTGAATTTCATGGCTGACGTGCGGAGGAGACTGCCTCTGCTGGTACTCGTTATCGTCGTCTTCCTGATTGTCGTCTTCCTCCACGTGTGTTTGTTGTGGCGGCCGTGGAAACAACAACGCAAGAGGAGGGCTTCGACGAGACGGGCGGCAGGGGAACGTCTAATGGCGGGCATGCAGGCACGAGCGGCTACTACCGCAGGTCAGGGAGGAGTTCGATCTTCGGCGGTGGAGCCTCGAAGGCGGTACGACCCGTCCATGTACACCCATCTGGAGTCGTGGGAGACGCCATTGCCCCCGTCGGACGAGGAGCTGGAGAAGGAAGAACTTTCAACGTTGCCTCTCGCCAGCGGCTCGACTCAGTTGTGGTCGCAGACGG